GAGCGTTGACTTACCCTTTATGGGAACATTTTTTAGGTATTGCACAGGTGTCCACCGAAAGCGAGGCCACGGGCCCGCTTTGACGACAGAGCCAGTCTGTGGCTCTTTTTTTGACATCGTAGTCCCTTGTTTATAATTACTTTTGGCCTTGTGTAATTTTTGTAACAAAAACTTGTTTATATTTAAAAGGCAAGTATAAGTGACTCTTTTGAGATATTTATTCTTTTATGAATGAATGTACATAATGATGATGATTTTGGTAGTATTCGATACTATACAATTGTGAATGAATGGATAGACCCAGTGTGGTCAATGTTGTACAGGTTGCATTTTGGGTAGAACTCCTCGTTCAAAGGAGACTTTGCCCAAATTTTGTTAAGTTATGGATCTCGATAAATGGGGCATAACGGCGTGGTATCGAATTACATGGTATCCACGGGTATTCTGCGGATTGATAGGTGATCAATTGGGTAATTATTGACACCTGGATTTTGGGGTGTCACAATAACCCCACTATATAATGCAATAATAAAAATAATAAAGACTCTACTCCATTATTTGGAGAATTAAAATACCAGAATTAATTTGTCCCCACTAATACCAAATTGATGACCCACTAATACAAAAAATTAAATGCATAAAAATAACTCTTAAAACATGAAAAGTCATGTTTAATATTATTTTTCCAATAGTGAGAACCGAAGTGGCAAAGGTGTTGTACTCAGGGCCTAAACCGACAAGAACGTAATGAACTTTGTCGACATCCGAGATGGGCATGCCAATGGCAGAGAGAGTGTCAAACAATCCTTTGAATTGACGAAGATAATCAAAAGGCAAGAGGCAAGAGCATATGGGAAACCAAACCATCTCAGTTCTGTTCATGGAACTGGAGAAAGTTGCTGCAAGTAAGGGAATTAGCAAGACCTTTCATTCTTTATGTTATTGGAAATGGTAGGAATACATCTCTTTGGCATGATTTTTGGCATTGTAATGGTGCTCTCCTTCTTAAATGGGGTCCCAAAGTGATTTATAATACTAGGATCCCTAAGAATGCCAAGGTTGCCTCCATTATCCAAGGAAACCAGTGGAGGTGGCCTTCAGTTAATCCTAGAAACTCCAGAATCATTGAAGAGATCATTTCTACTATACCCAATTACTCCCCAACAATTGAGACAAAGGATGAGATCAAATGGTTTCCCCAAGTAAATGGCAAATTCTCTACTTCTTCAGCTTGGAATCAAATCAGGACCAAAAAAT